AAAAAATCATTTATACTAATAATCTATACATTATTCCCGTGTGTGTATGAAACGTGTTATTTTGATTTCCACTTTTGTGAGTCAGTTTTTTATCTCTTTTTTCTCAATTAAAAAGGACAATATTTTTTGTGATAAATCCTAGGATAAATCATGCCAGTTAAAATTTCATGTAGTTGTACATTTTCAAAATTTTAAGGGAACAACAAACTATTAAGGGAAAAGTGCAATAAACCACTCTTCTTTTGATTGTTTTTTCTTTCTTCATAAAATAACGATGCAATTTCTCAAGGTAGCGTAAAAATAATTTTTTAATGAGATAATTTTGCATACAATGAAATGTTTGTAACCTCGACTCATTCATTATCACAATTTAATGAATTTCGCTGATGTCCTATGCTTGAAAAATATTATTACTCAAATTATTTATATGTAACAGAAATGAAACATGAAAAATTGTATGATCACAATGTATGATATTTTATAAAACGACTCACAAGAATGAATCATAAGTAAAAAAGTACTATAATTGTAGACAAATTTAAGCCAGAGCTGTCCACGAACACATACGAACCGTTTGATCGTTTGTCGTGTTTTTTTATTTACATTTTGTTCGTTCGTTGTTCGGATAAAAAAATGTAAATGAAAAATGCTACGAACGAACGAACGAACGTATTTACGAACGTTTCAATGATATTAATCTCTTTTTTCCTTTATTTTTTTCTTATGTTTAATTCTTGAAATTGAAAATATTTGTGTCATGATTGAATAGAACAAAAACCAAATTTCTATTCTTAGATTATGCTACAAATTTTACTAGCGTAAATTAAGATGATCTCATTATGAAATTAATAATAACAATGCATTGTCATCTCTCATCTGTTTTCAGCACGTTACATACAATATAATATACTATATTGTATTAACATATTTGCTCTGCACTGCAGATGTTGAAAGTCTCAATTATACAATACAAAAACAACTACAATATAAAAACATCTACTGTTTTACTCTGATTCAAAGCATCGAAACCATCTTATTACAATGGTTGCTGATTGAATTAATTGAACTGTAGTTATTATAATATTATAGCTTGCACAATGCACACGCCTATGCAGCGAATCTTGGTAAGGTATACCAAGAAAGGTATACATATATATGCATTACATACCACAAGAGGGAAATGAATAAATGAGTTAACAGCCTAAAAGCATATACATTATGGCTGTAAATGTTATCAATAGGAACGTTCATTTTTGCCAGCGTGTGAATACACATTAAAATGCAACACTTCCGGTGAAAGACATCTCCTACAGCGATGTAATCACTTTTTATATACATTTTTTTTTTCATTCTGAAGTACATCTTTGCATAGTACAAGAGGAATTGAATATTTCATAAGTGAAAGGGTAGGGACATCGTAATCGCTAAATTAAATTCTGGATGTGTTTTGATGTTTATGTGTTGAAAAGGGGCAAAACAATAGATGTTTAAATGCTTAAAACTATGTTGATGCCTTTAGGTCAAGAAATCTACAGTTTGAAATGCCGCTTTTATTGTATTCAATCCAGATTTATTTGAAAAATCTTGAAAGAGAGAAGAGAAATCAAGTGTTGACAGATAAAGTTTTGTATAGAATGGGACAATCATTTGACAACTCTTTAAGAGTCTTCAACATTAATATTTCTACTGAAGCACTGGTAAAAATATTTTCTATTTCTTTTTAAATGCAATGCAACTTTTTTACTTGATATCGTAATAAAAAAGTATAAGCCTTTTATAAATTGAGACGAACAACTTTCGAAAGTCCCACGCAATGAAATACATTGTGTAAATATAAGACTTGTTGTTACTAAACATGAGAAAAATTATGTGAGTAAACGTAGTTTTTTTTTTTTAATTATGAATATTTTGAAATGTGCGCAATAAGGTTTTTGCATCATAAATTTACAATGGTAGTGATAAAATGTTTGACAAACAAATTTTGTCGTACAATTTTCGTTCTGAAATATTTGATAACTTGGTGAAATTAAAAATTCCTATTTATATACAAAATCTCTGTCAAATACTTCCATTGGAAATATGTTTTAAACGTTAGAAGTAAGGAAATATACAAAATATGAATGTCTTTTTATTCAATCAAAACGTTCAATTCTATGTGAATCTCAAGTAAGAGCACATAGATGGATGAATACTACCTTCCATTTACATGTTGCAGCGGTTTAGTGTTTCAGAGATTGATGTATATAATATACTATATAGTGTACATAATAATATAAATGTTATTCGGTTAATTATGTCTGGTTTTCTAAAGTATATTAACATATAAAAACATTCCACAATACCGCATATACATTCCACACATCACATATCATACATACGATGGCTACATTTATACACGTTTATGTGACACTAGACGGATTTATGATATCTTCCTTTTTCTATCTTATCCAAAAATGGTAGACTACGATGAACCTTTTCACTTTTTCAAAGTATAAAACATGACAATGTTAAGTGAAAGAAAGCCGAAAATAGACAAAACAAGACAAACTTGATAGACATTCTATTGTACTTTGTTTCGGTTTTCACTCACAAGTGTTTCTTTCCTCCAAAATATGTGCCATATGTAAAAATATAACATAAAAACAACAATCATTTGTAAATATGATTTTCTGAGACTACTCATATGGGAATACATATTTACATACATTTTTGAACAAATCGACTGGTGAAATTTTTTCCTTAATAGCAGAGAGTAGAAAACACTACCGCTATAGTAATACTATATTAACAGTGCCTATAAATAGTTACTATTTGTACACATTTCGATTGTGTGACCACAACAATTTTTGCGAACTCTAATGTGAACAATGCGACTCTTTGTATTTAAAATCTACATACAAAGAGTTACATTGTTCACATTGGAGTTCGCAAAAATTGATGTAGTCACACAATCGAAATGTGTACAAATAGTAACTATTTATAGGCACTGTTAATATAGTATTACTATAGCGGCAGCGTTTTCTACTCTCTGCTTAATAGTAATAAAAACTTGAACATTGCATATTTATTATAGATTAGTACAGTGAATCTAATTTTTTTGATAGACAAAATAACAAGCAAAGTAAGCAGAGAAACTCTCCACTAACATAGGATTCATATACGAATGGAGTGTGAGTGGAGTGTGTCATGCAAAATTTTGTCTACCAAAAATATTAGATTCACTGTATTATGTTTTAATGTTTGAGACTAAAAGCGAGAACCAATATTTTAAATTTTGTACGTGCAGATGAACAAAAAAAGTGCAAAAACGTACTGAATTAAACCTAATTTAAGCTGAACTGATTTTACCAAACATAAAAACAATATATCGTCTTTAATTTTTCAGACTACAATTAAAGTATATACTGGGTGCCTAAAATTGGATATTGAATATAAAACATTGGGAATTCAATGGGATACAACTAGTAAAGATGTTGTTACACAAATTTTACGCAAGTATGATTTTGGATAATAAAATTAAAAAAAAAAAAATCCGAAATATCTGTAATACTTTTGTTTAGATGTAAAATGCGACAGAGAGACTCACGACTATTTTACCTCTCCATGGAAGTAACGGTACGAAAAGCAGGAGTTAAGAGAGTTCTTAAATTGGATGATGACGCTCGGCCTGGCGTTTTGGCGGCTTGTCACCCAAAAGGAGATTCACGGTTATTTGTTTTTTCTAGATATTATGAAATAATTATTAACATATCTTTAATAAATATTTCATTTTTCTATTCCGTAGATTTTGCCTTCAAATTAAACCTGGTGGTTTAGTTCGAGTTCATACATCTGTTTTACAGCCAACATCGTTATACAAATGTTTATTTATATCCGAAGAAACAACCACCGACGACTTACTCACACTGCTATTATCATGCTTCAATTTAGATGAACCAGTAGAACAATTTTCATTGTATGAGGTAAAAATTAGCATAGTTTTTGATTTTGCCTTTTCAGTGAAACGTTTTCACCCTGAATGATAATGATTAACATGTTTTCACTTATGATTAATATCATTGTAACTTGAAAAAAAAAATCTAATGATTCTTCCTTCAGGTATGTCCTTCTCAAGAGAGTCAGCGCAAATTACACGAAGATGATTATCCACTTCGAGTACAAATGCAAAGAGCTCAGCGCAGTGAACAATTTCATTTTATTGTACGAAAAAATCTACATTATCCACGACGAAGGCAGTTGTTGCCGTCGTCTATTGACAATAAAACAACAAAGACTAACGCTGAAAATGCCAATACCCGTCGATATACAACCAATAAAGCTGCATGTCACAAAAATTGTGTGCGTGAATTAAGCTTTGCACAATTAACACGTGTTCCAACCACCGACAATCTAAACCAAAATGAATGTCATTTAGACGACGATGTGAAGTCGAAAAAAACATTGTGCATTAATAAATATCAACCTGTCTACAATATTCGAGAAATTAGTACGGTCTGCAATTCATTTTCATCACTCGGTTTGGGATGGAAAATGGATCGGGGCACGTACAAAACATCACCAAATTCTACATCACATAACGCAACAAATAGACATTCAATGATTTCAAGTTCAAATCTAAATATTGTTCGTGAGGCAGTAAAAAATAATCCATCTTTGGGATATGGTAGCTATAATTTTCATTATTACCATTCATATTCATTCATTCGTTTTTTTTTATTATTCGTTCTTTTCTTTTGTTTTGATTCTTCCCTTAGGTAGTTATGTTTATATTTAAAAAATGCTCTAAATTGGCCAAAGATGGAATAATATGACCAGTGCTTCATATATATGGATGACCCCATCTGTTAAAGCAACATACTTTAAAAATAAAATTTATTAATATGAACCACACCAATAAACTGTATGATCACTTATCATTATCAATTGAATATAGAGAGAAACTTTATGCCAAAGAGATGATTTAATAAAGAGTTTGAAAGAAAAAAAGTCATAATTATTTATCGAGATATGAAAATGGTGTTTACCGAGTGGAGATAAGAAGAAGATTCTGCTTTGATTTGTTGCACAAAAACACAATCTCGTCCAAATCAAAAACAAGGAGCCAAGATGTCAAACGCAGTCATTTTTTTATCGCTAATACTTAATACTTTATTTGTTTGAATTTTTGAAACAAAATATATGATCAAATAAAATTCTTCACTCTGTACTCTTTGATTTTATGTCACAGTAAACAACTCCATAAATTTTATTCAGAATTTTTTTATATGCATATGTCTTAATCGATTTTTTTAAACACTTTATGACTCAAATTTGGTTTGAATGTATTGGCTTCGGTCAAAAGGTTCATCATCTGCAGTTTCATCTAAGTTGTCTTCGTCAACATCTTCCTCCTCGACATCATCCTCTTCATAGATTTCTGCACACTTTTTTATTTCGAAAACTTTGTGGATTGCCTCTTTAAAGCAAAGGAAATTGAAATCAATAACTCCTTGGCGACTAAAGCTATACTCTCGAAGGATCAGAACTAAGGCAAGAAACTTATTTACTTCCCTCAGATACAGGACGGTGCTGTTATTCAATTTGATCAGACTTGAACTTTGATCATCGAAAGCTGTTCCAGAATCGGAACTGTAAACGAAATGAAATGAATATATATAAATTATTATGATTAACGCAGGACGGTTCTGTTATTCAACTTTATAAGACTTGAACTTTGATCATTGAAAGCTGATCTAGTTTCGAAACTATAAATGAAATGAAAATGATATTTGTAATTTATTGCTAACCCATATATTGAAGATAAATCGATGACAACATCTATCATGTCGCAACAAAGTTCATAGGATTGCATATCCACTGGTGAGCTATCGGTTGCTATGTAAATTTTAGAAACCACATCAAATAGGAAGGCCTTTTCAATGCCCGAATTCTGAAATTTGAAATTGATAAAACTATTATCTGACGTAGTAAGGGTCTACCTGAATCTTTTAAATTTAGCCATATGCAATGAGATTTGGCGATCATTCAAAATATTTCTCAAAAAACCTTTTCTGGTAATCTATTAATTTAGAATCTATCTTTCAGATTTTGAACTAATCATATTCATTAATATCCTTTGAACTTACAGTTATGAAGATATTCAATAAATTCTCCAATTTTGGCAATTGTGGTATTAGCTTCTGTACAACTTTTGAAAATGCTTCGAAAATAGAGTGGTCGTATATTGATGTTAAATGAAAACTCAAATGTATGCGATCGTATCCAGCGTCAACCAAGTCGTCTGATGCGCGTTGATGTATATCACGTTGTGTTTCCATTTTTAGGTCATCACTTATGCCATCAACTTTGTGAATAAAAACTTCAAATTTTATCTGTTTATTCACAGCGTGTGCTTTTAAAACAGTTTTATTCAATTTCGTTAGAGCTTCAATGTAGTCATCACGGGCATCGATGACAAATACTAAGGCACCACAGCCCTTAAATATCATTTCAGAATCAAATCCAGGATCAAAAAAATCTATCTGACCTGGTGGTTTAAAAACAAAATTAAAACGTGTTTTATTAAAATTATTTTATACGTTTTTTGAAGGAGACATTTTCATTTTACATGCATAGTTCACGTTCAAAGCATATTTCATTTACATAGCTCTGTTTTGATTCATGAAAAGTAAATATAATTGTGATGTTCTGAACATTATTGAACACTGAATACCTGGAAAATCCCAAATTTGAAATTGTACAAAACTTGAGTTATTTATATCGTCCTTAACAATTTTATTGGTTGACTCAAGAAATAAGGTTTCATTCGGTGACATTTTATGAAAAACCTATAAAATTATCACATTATTAATATTAATTATAACTAAAGTTTTATATCATATTATTATTATTACCACTTTCTGAATAGAACTTTTTCCTGATCTTCGTAAACCTGGCGGTTAATAAAAAAAGAAAAATGGAAATAATGCAAATTAATCAACACGCAAAGAAAATGGAAAAATTATCGACTTAATGGATAGGTCAATGAGAGAATGTCTAGACTTTAAGTCTCTTTGAGCCAACGGTGGCGCCCCGAATTTCAAAGGGGACGTCAATGTAATTCAACAACTCAAATCGAAACTAAACAGCGTGCAAATTTTAAAATTCGCTGTCATTTCCTCACATTGAGGGTGGTTCGATTTTCGGGCAAATACAGAATGAGATACTGGCTATAGTTACACATGCACATGGTCTCGCGGAGGGGAGAGGGTATTTATGTGGAAAAATTAAAATAACAAGTTTTTATGAGAGAAACAAGTAAAAATTCGTGTTAGCGAGCGAAGCGAGGCGAAATTTTGCGAGTTTAACCGGAAACCACTTCAAATTTTAGTGTATTTATGCTATTAGTTATACATTTATATGACAAATCTGAAAAAAATTGAAAAATTTGCCTCAGGAAGCGCTTTGAAGGGTCGATTTTTTAACATTTTTTACGAAACGCTGCTGAACATTTAAAAAAAATGACCCGACGAAACAAAAATTTAATTTATTATTGGGGTGGTCTGATCTTGCTGAAAATGTCCGAGTCACCCTGTAACATCTTGAGGATGTCGAATAGAGTATTTTGTTTGATGAATAATTCAGATTTTACACGTACAATTAATGTCGAAAATACCCAATTTGTTGAAATTTGTCTATGCACCAAAAAGTCATTTCTTCTACAATATGGTATGTTTCCGTGTTGAAATATTCTGATTAGGGCATTACAGATGCATTTTAGAAGGAATAAACGATGACCACTAAAAGAAAAGTTCCTTCCTATATCTTGAAAAACAATTCTGTTGAATTCTGTTGTTAATTAGCAGCGTTACGAACCAGAAAAAATGTGTTGAACATTTTGAAAAATTTAAATTTTTGGTCAAATGTCAAAAAATGTACCCATCGAGGCGCTAGACCTGTGATTTCAAATATATCGAAAAAAGGTCATATTCATATTTTTCCATAACTTATAACTATAGCCCATTCTGTGTTTTCCCAAAAATCGAACCACCCTAATGGATAACAATTATAAAGTAATGAAATAGTATTTGTTTTAAGTGAATCTAGATCGATACAAACCCATCAATAAAATACGTGGCTTTTGTTCATCATTATTCAATGATGTATTACCTAGGGTCAATCACATAGAATAGAATAAAAAATGGAAATTAATGAATAAGTAATGGAATAGAATAGAAAATGAAATTATAAAAAAAAGTTTTAGCGCAAAAGCAATGACCACAACAACATTGCTTTAATTTGAGATTTGGTAGTAGTAGTAGTAGTGTTGAGATCGTTGATCACTGTAGAAGAGGAAAACATTGATATGCTTACTATTTCTAGTACTTATTAGCATCGTCTGCTACTACGTCTTGGTATCATTGAGATTTTGGTTAGATTGGTAGGAAAATTTGAAATAAAAAATCGCTACGAACAAACGAACAATTTTTTTTTCAATTCCTACGAACGAACACAATTTAATTTTTAAATTTCTACGAATGAACAAAAATGTTATTTATATTGCCTACGAACGAACAACACGTTTTTGTTACTTTACCTGTAACACATAGGGTGCTTAGTTTTTTGTACATTTTCGGAAATATTTTTTCAAATTTTTATACATCATCGGATTCTACTCTTAATTTCGTTTCAAACGGAAGCGTAGGGTGACTAGTGATACACCATTGGAAAGGTATTTGAACGTAGAATAAGATGGTGTCATCAAATTTGAGATCCATGTATTCTCCCAAGTGATTTTTGTGACATAAAAAAACCGAGAGTGGCGTGAAATGGAAAAAAATGGGGAATTTCATACATGTCTCCATTCAAAGGTCACCTGGAATGCCTATCTTAAAATTTTAAAAACACATTTATGGGATAGATAGATGGGACATAGCTGACTTAATTCTGCAAAATGTGCAGAAAATGAAGCACCCTAACAAACAACAATAAGATGAAATGAAATCAAATCGAAAAAAATATAAACCTCGCATAATTTGTTGAATACGAGTACATCCAGCTGGTATTCAAGATAAGTACGGTAGTCGGTACTTTTCTTCGATGACATTTCCCCATAAATTTGGCTATTTCCGCGCAGCTCACGACATTTTTTCTCTATAGCATCCGTAAATCGATTCAGTTTGTATTGGTGGGTAAAAAACGGGTCTTATGGTGCCAATCTTTCGATGATTTCAGAAAAAAAAAATCATTATCAGTCGCTAAATCTTTGCGTACGACCCCCATAAGTTCTCTGAATCGTAAGAACGTTGAATGATTAGCGGCACCAGATCGATTGTTTTGGATTTGGAACTGCATTATTGTCATTATTGTTGTTGGTGTTGTCAGTGTTTGGTAAAGATATCTGAAATGTATGTAGATACTTTTGAGATAGTATCTCAATTGTCCGAAATTCAACTAGATATTTTCAAGATTTTCATCTTATCTTTTTGATAAATGACGATGCTTTGACCAAAATACTTATAAACGCCTTTAAAAAATATGATCTAGCAGTGCACAAAATAACACGTATTGTTACGGATGGTGGAAGCACCTTTTTCAAAGCGTTTCGAGCTTATGCCATTTATGCAATACGAAGGTGAATTTCTCGAAATTTCTTGAATGCAATCAACTTGATTTCAATGAGCGTGTAATGGAATTTGATAACGAAGAATTCGAATATAATTTTGACGAATCGGGTCATGAAATTGATCATTTTCGCTTCAATGAATAAATTAATCATACCGACAATTGATGAAATTTTTTTAAATAAATGACCAAAATATCTTATTATTTATCTTAAAAAATAAAGATAAGATACCAAAAAAATCCAAAAGATAAGATGATTTTTTAAGTTTCTAAAATCATCTATATAAGATAAAAGATAGTATCTATCTTATCTTATCTTACTATCTCAAACGAGATAAGAAATCTTAACCAAACACTGTTGTTGACGTTCCTGGATCGCCGAATGATTTTCAAATGGGCTAAACATCCATCGGTGGAGAAAAGAAATGTTTTTGACTCGGCTTATTTATTTTGTCCAATTTTACGAATATACGCCAAAATGCATTATGTCGGGCATGCGACCACCGACCTCTGCGAGATTGTATTTTATCACCACTCTCATTTGTATACAAGAGATTCGTTAGCAGTACGAATCCTCCTGTATGGAATCTTGCATGATGTTTGACATTGCTTGATTGTGGCACCGCCACAATCTCTGACCAATTTCGATGCGGATTACACATTGCAAATTCAACAATTCGTAAACGTCCTTGTACCTGTCGTAGAAAATATGATGATGATGTTGATGGTGAAAGAGATTAATGTCGATTGGTAGAACTTGTGTCACTCCATATGTTTGTCTCTTTCCTTCCCATGAGAAATTGTATTTGAATTTGACAGTTAGTATGACATTTGTCACAGGTTCTTTAGTTTAGTGGTCAGATGCAGTGTGTATAAAAATAACCGCGTGGCACTGGTTGCTGTTACCGTTGTGGCCGTTCTCGTCGTCAAATTCTTGAAATATCTCCAAATGTGTTGCCTCATGTCCATTTCCACGATTAATTCCGTATTTAGCTCATATCTTTCGATCGCATAAATCAATACTTGTTCGGCATTTTCGAAATTCATTGACCAAAAATTCCAATTCCATCACCAAAAATAAAGGTTTTGTACCAAAAGTACGAAGTTGTGCCTAAACACAATATTCAAATCTACTAACCAGAATCTCTCTGCTATCGTATCTCAGTACATTCGCTGCACCATGTTCCCGATGTGATGTTGCTCCGATGCTGTTGTGTGTAACAATAGCTCATCTCTCTACTACCAAATCTCAAATATTTGTCAGCAATTTGTTATATGATGTTGCGATTTTTGTTTCTTTCATATGTGTGTGCGTTTATGTGTGGTCAAACTAAATAATTTCTTACATTCTAATGGTTTCTCAATCATCTCTCACTTACTCAGTCACACACACACACACACTCTCTCTCTTTCTCTCAATTTCAAAAATATTTCTGTTTCCATCATCATCATCGTCATTTGAAAATCTCATTGCACATATTATAGAATTAATGTGAATGATGATAATGGAACAGAATCGAGGGAATGGATCTGGAATTGTAGACTAATGGAATAGTAATTTTTAAGTAAGTATGCCCCGATTATTACATTCACTTTCGGAAAATGGTGTGTATCCGAAATCTCTTGGAAATGAGCCCACTTCATTTGAATAAGCTCCACCTTGCTCTTCTCCACTGTCTTGGTAGCTCTATCAGAAGAAAATAATGGAAAAATTAGAGATTTGTAGCTACTCTATATTTTTCTATATAGCAATGAACTTTTTATTTATCCAAGCGCAATAGCTAAATTTATGTAAAACTCACCATTTGTAATTTTTAATTTATACAGATTAATTATTTATTCGATTTATAATTTTTTTTATATGAGTTTCAAACGAAAATTATCATAAACTCACTATACTCTTCACAATAAATATAACCAGACTAATTTATTACGTATAATATGACTGTCAATGTCACTTGTTTTTTTTTTCGAATACGAAAATCACAAGTTCGAATACGAAATCATAAGCGCTGTAATTTAAACAAAATAAATTATTGCTAAAAACTGTATATATCTCGAACAAATTTTATTTTTAATCATTGTTATAATAATACGGTTTATCTTATTTGTTGTTGTTTTTTTTTTCAAATACAACTTAATACAAGTATAATATATGTATAATATTTAGAGTATATTGATGAAAAGCACAAAATAAGTGGTAATATATTGCATTATGTATCCATAGTTCTCAAGTCTTACTGTTCTAAGAGTTGAAATTTGTAGGTATAATATCTATCATAGATTGGAATGTTCGTATGATACATAATTACTAGTACACTAAACATTGCCTGAAGAATGAACGAATTTATGTTTATATTAAAATAAAAGAAAAATTAAATTCAATTGTATTTACCTGATGATACAAACGGGCCAACGTAGTTGCTTGGGAAAAGGCCCGTTAATCCTTGGCATTCTCCGCGCCACCATTCTGGTTCATCTCGACCCAACACACTTATAATGTCATCTTTTTCGAATGACAGCTCATCGTCGTTTTGAGCCTTGTATGGATATAATGCTATCATCTTGTCTGTATAAAATAGTGAATAATAATGATTTTTTATAAGAGATGCGTTTTCATACATTTTTATCTCATTAATAATTACCCAAAATGGTCTCATTCATTTGTATTTTTCCGCCTGATACAGGCGTACTACGGCCACTCAATCGTCCGCTTTGCAATACTTTTACATAGGTTGCAGGGAACCAACCGATTTGTTTGCGTCTACCACGAGCTTGAAGTTCTCCTTCCCACCAACCAGTTTCTGATTTCTTACGAATCATAATGTATTGACCACGTTGAAGAGACAGTTGTTCACTACTTGTGCTTTCATATGGGGCGATAACTTGAGCCACTTCACCTTTTTTCGAACCTCGGATACCCTAAAAATTGTATTGTTTGAAAAAGTATTATTTTTCGAAGCATTATAACAAAGGGTATTCAAAAACATACGGAAGTTGTTGATGAAGTGGACATTGGTCGACTATAGTTATCTTGAACTGTGTCCGTTTTCGGTTGAGTATTTATTTCAGAGACTTCAGTGTCGGCTTCTTCTTGGTTACTCACATCGTCAGAGTAATTTTGGGTGCTGGTTACCTCTTGTGTATAGTAAGGTGAACTATCTGTATTCGTTTGTTCATTGCTAGTGGCATTCTGTACATAATTTGATGGAAATATTCCTGTTCTGTTTCCAATCGTTCCAGTCCACCAGTCTCCATCTTTTTTAGTAACTACTATATATTCGCCTCCGTCAAATGTCAGGTCACCTGGCTCAGTCGATTCGTATGGATAGCAGGATATGTATGTTTCATCATATTCACTTTTTGTATTCGTATTGAATGCATTTTCTGATTGAACAGCACTTTGGTTTTCATCAACAATAAAATTAGACACATTTTCGCTGGTCGCTTCAACTTCTTCTTCGGCAATTTTTTCCACATATGATTCAGGAAACCAGCCAGTATGGCCATTTATTTCACCCGCTAACCAACCTATAAATGGACATTAATAGTAAAATAAATTTCAATTAATTAACAAATTAACACATGCGTGTCGATTTATTGGAATTTGAATGTAACAATTTATCCAAAGATCGAATCAAATAATCGTTTAAATTCCGAATCTCTTCGGTGGACGATTGTGTGAAAACTCCGGAAAATGTGTGAGAACGTGTCACCAGATCTTCATTCGCCGTTTTGTCGTTCCACCCGGTCGGGGTGATTCACGTAATTTATAACATTCCTTGACGGGGTTTTCGCACAATTGTCCACCAGTCAGAATTGATACGATTATTTGATTCGATCTTTCGATAAAATTGTTCCATAAAAATTCCAATAAATCGACATTATTAAAAAAATGCATTTAAATTAACTTAACCAGGCTCTGCATTTTGTTCAAATGGCACCATTATAATGTCTCCAGGTTGAAATGTTATTTCATCAGAGTTTCGTGCGTCGAATTCATAAATTGCACGATATGCTGCATATCCGGGTTTTGTAGTGATTTCATTCGTTGTTGCTGCTACTGAAGCGACCACACTTGTCGACCAAGAATCGACTGACTGTGGTACAGTCGCCGCTGAATCCCATGCTGAAGTGAGTGAATCATTTTTCTTATTGTTCTTAAGTTCATTTACTTGGTTTCGATGAGTTACGTAGAGAGCATAAATATCTTCGCAATCGTCCAATAATGTCTTTAGTTTAGTTTTAACATCATTCAATTGTTCAGTGTTGGCATTGACATCGGACTCCTTTGGTTCAATTTCTTCCTTTAGGTTTTGTAATTTTCCACGCAACTGATTGATATTCATTTGCTTGTTTGCAAATATTTCTTGACTGAGACCATCGCCCTTTGCATTTTTGCTATCAAGTTTAGCTTTTTCTTGACTCAGATGTACCTAAAGTGACCAGAAAAAAAAAAAACAATTATATGGGATTTTGAATAAAAAAATATGACTTAGCTGTACCAATTTGGCATTTTGTTCTTTAATGCGCGATTTTAATGCGGTCATTTCAGACATTTGCGTGTCACGGGTTGACCGCATTCCATCAATAACAGTCTTCACACTTGTCACCGAAACACGAGTATCGCAAATTTTTTGCGACAACTCCTTTACTTTATCATTCAATGAACCCAATTCTATGGTATAGGTTTGATTTTGTGCTTTGAGTTTAAGCAATTTCTCTTGCTCTTGTTGTCGCGACTGTTGCATCTTTTGTAGTTGTTGATTTTCCCACTCAATTTGTCGTTGCTTCTCCATTTCTTTACGAGCGGCCTAAAAATAAAATAGAACCGTTATTTTTATACCAAAATGTTAAAAGCAAAATGTAGATCTTCTAGGATTTTTTATTCTAAAAGTGAAAAGGTCTTCTTTTTTTGAAGACAATTTTTTTCCGAGTGGAATCAAAAACCCCTTTCTCAAAATCATATACAAAGTCAATACCTCCTTCTGCTCGAGCTCACGTTTTCGTTTTTCTTCCCTTTCCTCTTCAAGCTCTCGTTGAATTTGAATTTGTCGCTCTAGCTCTTCTCTTTCTTTTCGTTCGGCTGCTATACGAGCCTTTTCCTTTTTATCAGCCTCATCGCGCTCCTTGCGTTCACGTTCTTCAATTTCCTTACGTTGAGCATCTATTTTATCATTAAATCAATATAATAATATAATGTATAATTCGTTTTGAATAAAAACTCATTAAACTCACCTTGTAAAATCTTTCGCCGTCGTTCCAATTCGGCTTGACCTTTGTCGAAGTTTTCCTTTCGTTTGTCTTCGAACGTTGTTTGATTATAATTATGTAGAGCATCTAAATCTGCATTTGCAACACTGCCACTCTGTGACGAAATAGATCCATGCCGTGAATTGGAACCTGAAGCACTTACAGATCCATGACGAGATGTGCTTTTTCTGAATGAAGGTGGTACCAGTTCAAGTGGCAATTTCGCTGGTATCGGTTCACCTTGACTAGCAATCTCACACAAATGCATGGCGAGTACAAATTCATCACAACTCAAACGACCGTCCGAATCGATATCTGAAAGGGCCCATATTTGTGCAAGAGAAGCCTGCGGTAATTTGGATTGAAGAAGTAAATTGCGTGCTTGAACACCCGTTAAATATCCATTTCGTGTACGATCAGTTGTGTTAAATAGCTGAGTATATTTTAATTTATTCTTTATAGCCCATTCAATAACTGGTGCAGATGTAGCAGAACCTGGTGATTCTATTGAAGGTACCTTTTCTGAAACAGACATAGAGCGGCTTTGCGTACCACTTGGTGGTGTTGGTGGTGCTGGTATAGGGTTTGAAATGACCGGCGCAACAGCAGTATTAACGGCAGTTACAGCTGGAACATCATTTATGAGGGAGTCGATAAGCAAAGCACCATTCGTTGTCGTTGGTTGAACTTGCATTATGAGTGAAGGTTGGATTGGAATTATTGGTTGTTGAACATTGGGAATGATTGGAACTGGTTGGATGTTCATCATTTGCGGTTGAGTTGCTTCTTGTGTTGCACTAATGAATGGCAAAAAAGTAAATCTCTTGTAAATTTAACATTAAATTAAATTCTATTATATTTACATATTCAATCCAATTCCAATATTAGAGATAAGTGGTATTGGTTGATTTTGCTGATTTGGTGTTTGTTGAGCTGGTTTTTGCAACTGTGGAGGTAAAACGGGTCTTGCTGGAACATTTACCTAAGGGGAGAATCACAAAAGAAAAAAATACAATTAATTTAAAATAATCGACAAATAATCGAAAAACAATCAATAAGAATTAATTAATAATAGAAAGGCAATTTTTAAGGAACATTTACAGGACTCAAACTTCCGGTAGGTGTTAAAGTTGGTGTTGATCCTACGGCTTTCAAAGATGCAATCATTGTCGGTGGGAGTTGTTTTGGCATTTCAAAGCCACGTAGCTTTAAATTAACCAATTTGCAAGCAATACTAAACTCATCGATATTCATTTTTCCATCACGATCAGTGTCAGCCAGTGCCCTAGTTTTGTCAAATATAGTAAACCATTTTCAAAATAATCATTTTTTTTAATTCCATTTTCATACTTACCATATTTCACCCAAAATTGCTGGGGGCAACTGAGATTGTAGAAAAAATCCACGTGCTTGTTGGCCGGTAACAACCTCATTTACTGGCTTCAAAGATTTGAATTGTTCGATGTATTTCGCACGTTCGCGTGATGTTATTACAAATGGATCAACAGCAGCACTCATGATATTTTTTTTTCAATTACCAGATGTGTTATTATTGTCGAACAAGACTTTATTGTTATGATGACACGAGGTGTGAAAACTGATAAATATAAGGACAAAAATGTGTAAAAAAATTCTACTCAACATTCACATACAGTTAAGTTAAAAAAATAATCAATATATCCACATACTACTGAATAATGTTGTAACATACTTACGTCAGTAACATAAAATGATTTTTTTATGAATGAACTATTTTGAATAATGTTTCAATAAACACAAATTGCAACCACTTGAATCCACAGGAAGATAAAGTAAATTTTGAACTACGATGTTTCAAATCGATGCACACACACTCTTGTCAGTGATTTTGAGATATGGAAAAGTCGATAAATCATTTATATCAGATTACACATAAAAGTTAGAGGAGAGAAAAACGCCTTTAAATTGTTATGATTTCTAAGAATTTCTTTGAGTTTAAAAACAATACAACGAATTTTTATAACACAATCATAATACTTTACTTACTATTTACACAAATCGAACAAAAAATAAATATGGTATTGTTCAGTTTGAAGAAAATGGATTTTTCATTGGTGAAAAATTCTTATTTTCCAGTACGTGCGCGGCAGACCCAAATACAAATTCTAATAGCAAAGTCTTTTGACACATACTCATACACTCACAATATATTGTATATTTATGACATGTCTTTAGAATTTTTGTCATACAGTGACTAATAGGCTTTTTTGCAATATTAATTTTATAGCAATTTTTCGAAGTAGAACAAAACGTTGAGCTTTTGTGAAAGAAATAAAATTTTAAATAATATTTATGTAATGCATATTCAATAGAAAAATAACTTATTTCATCAATTTGAATACATTTATTAGTTTGATAATTTTGAATAAAGATGGCGTCAGTGATAGGAATAGACCTTTCGAATAAAATTTTCGAAATGTCAATTGGTTGTGGAATATATTTCACATGATTGTTCAATATTATATTGTAATACAAAGAAAAGGATACAGAGAAAAGAAAACTTTGTTTTAAACATATTTTCAACATGGATTTAATTAAAGAAAATGAAAATATACTACTAGTGTGGGATTCTTCGTTTGATTTGGAAAATTCTGACATTGATGCAGAAGCTCTGAAATCCAAATATGACGCTACTATAAAATTCGAGAATGTTCTACGATTAAACATAAGTAAATGATTACATCTCTTCATTGAAACAGAAAATCATTTCAAAAATAAATTTTCGAATGAATTTTAATATTTTAGGTTCGTACAAGGATTCAACATTTACATTAATCATATTAAAAGTGAAGGAATGCTTGGACATACCATTATTAGCAACTTTATTAAAACTACTGAAACCAAGTGGACGTTTTGCTGTAACACCTCATAATAATCCAAACGATTTAATCGAGAGTTTGAAATTGGCGGGATTCGTTAATATCAGCACTACAGAAAATGGTATTTCGTTATATATTTCTTAAATAGTGCCATTTAGATTGAATATTTTCAACAAATTTTCATTGTTTGTATGAACTTTTTAGATGTTGTAGCCGAAAAACCAAAATACGAAGTAGGTTCGGCAGCGAAATTGTCATTTGGTAAAAAAGAAACCTCAACCAATAAAGCAGCAAATGTTTGGAAACTAACTGATGAAGACAATGACCTGATCAATGAAAATGATTTGCTTGATGAAATAGACAAAGTTAAACCCGATCCAACAAATTTAAAAGGTATTGTCTATAAATTTTGTTTTTATATTTTATAAGTTTATCCTGAAAAGAGGAAACATTATTTTAAGTGTGCGGAACAACCGGTAAACGAAAGGCATGCAAAGATTGTTCATGTGGTCTAGCAGAAGAATTAGCAGTTGAAGGTTCATCCCCAGGTAAAAAAGACCTAGCAAAATCATCATGTGGAAGTGTAAGTAAATAGCATGTATTTAACTGTATATTTTCATATGTAGATTTAACATTTGCATTTTTTCATCATAGTGTTATTTAGGTGATGCTTTTCGGTGTGCAACCTGTCCATATCTCGGTATGCCCGCTTTCAAACCTGGAGAAAAAGTGCAATTGTTGCAAAATTTTGATGACCTATGAATTGGACAAAAAATGATATTATACAAAATAAAACACAATTGTCATTATATTATCATAAATAAATTCAGATTTTTTCTTTAGTATTTATACAAAAAGGTTTTTTATTTAATTCTAATTTTTCTCGAGTGTCAACTTATTAAAATTTTCATTTATTTGCGTATCGATATTGCTGTGGAACATGTCGCTGTCGTATATAACTCTCACAATTAATGAGCATGATGGACAAGTTGCAACCTACAAACATATAGATCAGATGTCGAAGAAATCATTCCACATGCTTTTAAAAAAACATACCTCTTCACCAGCAATTAAGTCTTCTTTTGAAATTTCAAAGCGATCACCACACGGACAAGGATAATGATAGATTTCCAGATCTTCGTCATACTCGAAATCTTAAATAAAAACATACCTATTTAGAAAAACATACAGTTTAGATAAAACATACCTACCTTCGATTTCGATTTCGTCATGAAAAACGCTCATTACTAAGAATTTTTTTTCTGAATCAATAATAACAACATTATATTAAAAATGCACGTTTGACAAACATGTTTGACACATGTTTTTCCAATGACGTATATGTGAACGTGGACAACTTCAGATGATTAGATTTTTTATACATTTAAATATGGTCGTTTTCTCAACAGTCAAATTCACAACGCACAAACACAAAACATACAAATAAGAAACAACGCCACTTTGCAAACGTGAAAGCACATTTAGTCACAGAGTAAAGTGAAATAAACTTTTTTAATTGCACAACACTAGATAGATCTTAGTATGTTTTTTTATTAATTATTATTTTTATTACGGACTTGTTTTTTTTTTATTATAGTAAAGAAAATATGGGAAATAATGCAACGAAAACATCCACGACAGTGTTGAAAATTGACACAGATGGAAATGAGATAAATATGATGCAAAATATATTAATCGATCCTCGATCGCCAGACGTTAATAGAACACCTTTGGTGAGTATTTTGGGAATGAAATCCATAGAGCAAACACCAACAACACGTAAAACGTCATTGAACACATCGAATGAAAGGAAACTGTTAGATCCCCGTGAGTTATGAAAATATTCGTTTTGCACATTCTTTCTTGAATTCATTATAATATAAAATTTGATTCACCCAAGGTTCACCGAGCAAATTTATACCACGAACACCCTTGGCAACATCTTTGGATGGCACTGGAATCGAAAATAGTATTGGAAAATACTCGTTGGAATACAGCGGTTACATTGAAGAAGCAAGTTGTCGTAATTTCAATGAACGTTTGGCAAACATCACGTTTGACGACTCATATACTGAAGCAAATGATGCATCAAAAATTGCAGCGATAAAAACCAATGAAACTATCAATTTATCAATTTCACATGCAGCCGATGCTATTTATGATAATGATGATGGTGTGAATGAGCAATTAAGATCAACAGAATCAATGAAACGTTGCCAAAATACACCAATGGCTTTACCATCAGAGCCAACAAGTCGATTCGATGTTAACGTTTACACAGACGTTGAAAATATTTCGCCGGTTATAAATACAACTCAGCACAATAAACTCAATACTCTATCTGCATTCAGTAGTACACCAATATCAATATTAAATAACCAACAAAAATCGATGTCAGCTAAGAAACTTGCAACGACAAACAAAGATATTTGCATCGATAATGGAACACCCGGCAAGCGAATGGTAAAAACTAAAGAGCCGCGCACACCCTTCGGCTGTTTGCAAAATCAACAGTTGATTCAAAAGGACCATGAGAATTCTACACCAAAATCCAAAACATCAGTCATTTCAAAACGTACAAAAAAAACACGAATAATAAATCAAATTATTTGTGATTGATTAGTTGACCATAATAAGTGAATTGTTTTGTGTTTTTTTTGTATTTGTCATCGTTTTTAGCAAGATTTTCATTTTCTAGTTTTTTTAAATTTTGATTTCAGTGTGTGTAATAAAAATATCCGTTTGCATTTTACATGAGTTTATTAGTTACAATATACAATTTAATCAGGTACAATAGCAAAATAAAGTTGGTTGTTTTTTTTTCTTCTTTAAGTAAACATGCACAATTATTTAACAAATTATAAAAAAAGAAGTTTTCGTTTGTCAATGTTTTTATATATACACGGTACCATCGAACTTTGGATAAATGGAATAAAATCTTTATCAATGAAGACATTTGAAAAAAATATATTGTTTATTTTTTTCATTCTGTATGATAATACTATGAGCGCGCATAAGAATATTCATTAGGATTACATTACACTCGATAATTTTTCAAATACATTTGGTCTTAGAATATCTCTTTTCCGAGGCAGAGTACCGGTGCTTGTAATAGGTAACGGATCAGAACATCCTAATCCTACCAACATTTCGACTAATGTTTTCGTCGAATCGAACGAATTTAATCCATTTATTTCATTTGTCGGTTGTGTTGAAGCTAACGAAAGTGCGGCTCTCGCATATGAGAGACATGTTCTACCATCGTGATCTACCTGATGAACGTCAGCATGATTCCAAATCAGCAATTGTACTAAAGGTAGATTTCCCATAGCTGAAGCAAGATGTATTGCACGCCGTAAGTCACACTCGCTCACAGTTGAATTTACGTCAGCTTCACCAATATGTAAAAGTGTTATGATGACTGATCGTATATCAGATCTAATAAAATATAAAATTTGTTCAAGTATTTAGATGTTCAATCAATGTATTTAATTATAAAAATATATATTTTTCCTTAGGAGCATGGGGCCTTCAAATAAGGATTCCAATCATTCACAGAACAGTTATGTTTTTCAGACAAATCGGTGATTAGTCGATTGTATCATACATTATGATTTTTGCCAAAAACCTTTTGACGCTGGGTTACGTGTCTGTACCCATATCTTCGTCGTGCACACACACGGGACTGACTGCTTAGCGTGCCATCCGAAGCACGGTGAACACAGTAACTTATGACTACATACGATGTTCACCCATTCAAACACTGACCACAGCTTATGCAGTTTAACTTCAGTGATCGAATAGTGACGTAGTAGTGGCTGTAACCTCACTTATTATACTAGAGTACATATAGTTTTCAATAAAAGTTACCTCACTACAGCTTCAATTAGTAGTCTTCCACTTGGAATTGAATGATCGATGTCCGGTACAAATTCTTTCGCTTCATATTTTCGCCGAATCCATGATTCTTTTTCTTCACGTATTGATTGTGGATTGGGCTTTACGAAATTTCTCGTATTTGCTTCATATACTGAATTTGACAGCGCATTGCCAATGGAAAGCATTACGCTTAAGTGAGGTATTTCAATTGTATCTAAATCAAGTGATCGAACCTTTGAAATGTGTGAACCAAGATTTCGGTGGATACCACTACACTCAATGCAAATTAAAATGCCCAAACTAAGAGAAAAAAAAATGATATTTCGCATAAAAATTTGGACAAAAATTATTAAAATGAATGAATGAGTACATACTTTAAGCTTGCCCATTCAGGCGTTATTGCATCACAGTCAGCACAAAATCCGTTACCAGAAACTTGTTCTTTGATAATTTGTATTGTTGCCAAATTGGATGTTTGTGGCTTAGATTTGCTAGAAATATTCGACTGTAATGTCTTAAAAATTTCATGTTCTATCACTTGAACCTGAGAGGAATCATCGGAAAGAAAATGAAAGTAAATGAAAATAATGGAATTTAAACAACAATAGGAAAAATGAAAATAATTTAAATTGAACAATAACCCATTCATCACGCTCCTCGCAGCTAGCAGCTTCGAAATGCCATTGTTTTCCTGGCGAAACAATGATAAATTCATAGGAGTCAGCGTCTGTTGAAAGAAATACTTATATTGTTTAGAAAAACATTTGAAAAAACATCCTTCTTAGTTTACAATAAATAAATTATTATTAATAAATTTAATTTGATATTACCATCTACTTCGCCGCTTTTAAGACCACTACTTTTCATTCGACGATGTCTCTTTTTCGTATTGGATGAATTAGACGATTGACTTTCATTATGTTTGCTATTATTTGCATTTTCTATAGATAAAAAGGTTTGCGAATTGCTATTGCTCAGAACAACTCCCTCATCACCACTGTGTGTATGACTATTTGTTTTTCCAATTGAATCACGCAATGAATCAAAAGCGCCCAGTGATAATTTTTCATTCGTTTTACGATCCTTTGGAAGTGTTAAACCAGCAATACTGTCTGAAATTGCACTATTAGTTGCCTTCCAATAAAAGTTAACCGATGAACTAAGGGTGCTATTTGTTAAGATGGATTTCGATCCACGAGGTTTTTGACCGGGCAATTTAACACATACACAATTTAGTGCAATCTCTTTGCCATGTATATCATCCATATAATCGTGTAAAGATCCATGATAAGTTAGTCTGCCAATGTCTGTCAATGTTACATATTTTTTTTTCCATTCTTTGTTAAGTGTATTACTGCTTCGCTTATACAGATAGCCTTGTTTAATTGGGATTGCTCTTCCAACACCAAGTGCCTCAAGTTCACTTAATTTCGCTTCTGATTTTTTTGATGAAGGTATAAATAAATTCGATCGTCTTCGATTGGATTTTCGAGATGTAGTCGGTGTGGACGATGGCGTCGGAAGATCTTTGATATCTTTTGCATTGTTATTAGATATTTGAAGTGAATTTAAGGCAGCAACTGGAGCACTCATTCGATCACAAGATTGTTGCGGTTTCGTCATATTCCAATTCTTGCTAGGAGATGCACTACTTCGTAGCGGAATATGATGGCTTGAAGCTGATAATGCATGATATCGATGTGGCAATGTAAAATTACTATTTATTTGAAAATTTGTGTCGCTTGCCGCTGTATTCATAGATAATAAGCTACTTTGAATACTTTTAACAAAGTCTTTGGATGGGCTTGATACTAAATTATGTTCATTATTTTGAAAATATTGTTGTTGTGGTAACGAATTCATAGAACTACTCACACCTCCGCCTGCTTGAGGTGTTGTCGGTCTTGAATTTTGCGAACGGTATCGAAGGATTTTTTGACATGCTAAAGTAAATTTTCCAAATTAGTTTGCTTAATCTCATTTACGTGTAAAAAAAATGTTTACCATCCTGAAAAACAGTTTCTACATTCAAGCCGTAAGTTGCACAGGTCTCATAGTAAGAGCATCGTTTCAAGTCATTGGCCAATTTTCGAGCACGAGCTTCATCAATTATACGTGGATTCTTTTCATTTATTGAATCTAGAAGTGAAAAATTTATTCAAGACCTTAATAATCATATAAAATATATATATTTATCAGCTATACTCATATACCAAAAGTAAATTTAATAAATATATAAATCATTTACTATACATAAGTGTAATCATTAGTTTCAGCTTACCTTGTGTTCCTACCAATAAAATAGGAATCTCACAGCTGTTTCTAAAGTGTGACATTTTCGTATAGAAATTGTAAATTGCATTGAAACTAGCCTCATTTTCCAAACTAAATACAAAAATAACAGCATCCACCCAAGCAGAAAACTGAATTTCTGGTAATCCACCCTCATCTGAAAAAAAAAAATGAAATAAAATAGAATTGTATAAATTATTGGAATAAAATTTGATGGAAAATGTTACCTCGTATTAAAAGCAAATGGCTCTGATTATCAATGAAAATTTCCTTTTTAAATCGACCTCCTTCTGGTGATTCTTCTTGCATATAACTACCTATTTATTTTATTTAAAAAAAATAATCGGTCAATATCGTATGTGTTACTCCAAATGAAAATTATATATACTATCTTTTGAAGAACCATTTTAAAAATCTCTTCTGCAGAACAACTACCTGTTAAGTATCGATGTACCAACGCAGATTTCCCTGAATTTATGGATCCGACAATTCCTAAACGGAGCTCTGGCACAGATCGAGATAATGTCCACTCTTGACTATTTACAAATGAATCTAACAAGTCAACAGTTTTTTGTGTTAAAATTAATGTACATGTGAAATTAATGTAATCATACCTTCAATACAGACGACATGGTCACGAACTTGTTGTGCAATTTGTTGATCAGGAACGAGTTCAATTAAATCATAAATAGCATATATGGATGGATGAACACTTTCAAATCGTTGAATTTCTTGACGTATAGCCAGGGGATTGTTTAAGAACTGAAAGTTATTACGTGAACTGCTCATTTTCAACTTTTTTTGAAACTAAAGCCAATTTATTGACACCAGTAAATATACCATAGAAGTTTTTTGTTTTGTTTTTTTTAGCACTATAACTTTTGCATAAAATTTCACTAATTTAATTTATTATTATTACTAAAAAGGTGGTAACAAATGAAGCCCAATATGAAATGACTTGCGATACATTTTCCAAAGAATAAAAAAAAATGTTTGTTTTTTAATGTTTTTTTTTATATTGACGTGGGTTTGCAAAATGCCAAGTACACTTTTTGCCGTGTGCTTTAAATTGCTTGATATGTAATTTGATGAATACATGTATTATTCATTCATGGCAATAAGTATTTTGTCTGGATATGACTCATAATACAATATTGAAATTTTTTAAACAAATAATGATTTGGTATTGAGTTAGATTGTAAAATAATAAATTAATTTAAATAATATTATATGGCATACAATGAATTGTTTTTCAAACTTATTTGAAGAAAAGAAATATTACGTATGTTTATCACACAGAAGCATTCACAAAACTAAGCAAATACGAAAGCCATATATCAAGTGCTACCAATCGTAAAAATAAGTTTTGTTTATATGAAGTTTGACATTGAATCAACAAAGAGACATCTGGTGCATTTCGAATTGAATTATATGACTTATGTGCATAGAAACATATTTTGTTTATTTGATTTGAAATGTTTTTTTTTTTCATGATCAAAATGGTCTTATTTTGAAGAAATTCAGATCCTTGTATGTGGAAATCGTCAATTATTAGCTGGTGAAATTTTTTGTTCAAGTTTTTCAAAATATATGTGCTAATTTCGGAATGATGATACAATTGTTCAGTTGTTCGCCGTTTTTCTGGTCTCTCTCTTTTGAAGTTATTTCAATTTTGAATGATTATTAGTAAAACACTATTTATTTCAGAGATTTAAACTGATAATTGAATTACTTATCCATTAGGGTGTAGCATTTTTCAAACATTTTAACGGCGAGGGTAATAACCATCCCTGATCATGAATCAGGCGGTTTTTTGTGAAAAAAATATAAACTGAGATGTCACGGTCAACGGCGAAGTATCGAAAATGGGAAAAATTAGGATTTTTTTTTTAATTTTCGTGAAAGGCATAAAGATACACTATACTTTTATCATTGTTTATATTTATGCTTAAATCATAAAAACTGGACCCAAATAACATATTCTAGTAGAAAAATTCAAAAATGATGTACTACAAAGCTGTTGAGAATGATGAAAGAATTCGCCTACCCTACCCTTAGGGGGTGATAACCCCTCAACCCATGATTGTTTTTAAAGAAAACGTAAAAATTCGGATTTTCAGTCTCAAAATACTTCAAAAATGCTTTTCATCTCTCTATTCATCACTTTTTGTTCAAATGACACGAAGTTGATTTTTCACTTTCGAATTGATTCAAGGGTTTCATTAAAACTCGGACTGTACAGATTTTGTTTCGTTTTTGTTTATTGTCCACATGTGTACGGTTATTACATATCTTTCACTAGAAAACTGAATTTGAATTTAGGTTTGAAATACAAATAATTTTCGACGCACTTTTCATACAAAAATTACTAAAAATTTGAATTTTTTTAGGAAAGCCATGCCTGTATGATATCGGACATAAAAAAAACGGTTGATTCATGTTTTTTGACCCCGAAAACATCTAGAAAACATGTTTGTTAATTTTTCGACCGATTCCAATACTTTACCTTACACACTAGGTGAGTGCGGAAAAGTAAAACAGCGCACCAAACGGACGTTTTCGTTTTTCATTTGTCGCAGGCTTTTTCGAAAAAATGGTGGGTAGCGACTTTGCCCCAACTTCCCCTACGATTCTTATAGAATTTAAGCAGTACCTGTTGAAAAATTAATGCGTTACCAATGGTAGAATAGTAGTTTTTAAGTTTTACTCGCAATATGAATCATGGAAGCCGCGGACATACGTGAAAGTAGCCTCAATAAAAGAATTCCTAGAAGAATTCAAATTTAGATACAATAAATACAATAATTTGGAACGTTGAGATAAAAGTATTTTTTAAAAAATATGTTCAATAAATGAAGAAAAAGTGCAATGTGTATATTGTTATGTATTTGCGTTGATTTCAGACAATGAAATGAAAAAAAAAAACAATGACCTACACAAGGTGCACAATGATGAGAAAAAGTCATGACTTAAACTACACTGTCGCGTTGAATGGCAAATAATTATGAAAGAAAAAATTACATGCAAACGATAACCCACCCGCAAAAGTACACAACTTATAACAAACCTTGGAGCTCTTAAACTTATGTCAAATGTATTATTCTTAGTTTAGCAGCGAACATTACACGCACGTAATTTTTATTACAAAGTGCTAGTGAATTGTGTCGAATAACTCAGAACAAATCAGAAGCAATACTTGTTATTTTATAGGGAAGAAAAATTAAGCAAAAATAATGGGAAATACATATATTATTGCAATATATATATTATTTTTAAAGACTAATTCTGTGTTCAAAACAAGTGCTTTGCCACAATTAGATATACCTTCAAATGGTTTGAATTATAACAAGAGCTTAAGAGCGATCAACGATCCAAGAGTTTTTTTAACAAATGGTCATTCAGGAAAAGCTGCTGGTGATACAATAATTGATAGTGATCCATCGAACGAAATCGGAAGTGATGACACTTTGCGCTATGACAGAGACCGTTCGCATCGCTTTGGTCCACCATACACAGAAGACAATGATCAGCGCTATTATAGCTATAGTAACGATAATTCACGTTATAACAATAGAAATTTGAATGGAAAAAATGAGGATGTCGATGATGATGATAAATACTACTCTCAACCAAGATCACCATATTACATAAGTGAAAAACAACGAAATCGTTATGGATATCGTGACTATTCCACAGTGGGTGAATACTATAACTTTGTTCGAAACCCATCAATAATTGTTGATATTTTTCTTGTGTATATATTTTAGTTCAATGGAAATTATAATTATAAGAATGACGGTTATAATTCAAACGACGGCCGAAATCCATATGTCAATCGGAATCAATACGAAAATAGGAATCCATATGATGATAGAAATTCGTACGATGATCGTTATATTAACAATCCAACATATGATGATTACAGCGATCGCAATAGATATTCAAATGGAGACTATGATCAAAATCGTTTGGATCTGGAGCGCAGGAATCGTATTGAAGACGCGAATTTGAAGCGTATACTTGATGATGTTGATAAATTATCTTCAAATGAGTGCTCTCTTAATGTTGCTGCACAGTGGAATTTCGAAACTGACGTGAATGAAGCAACACAACAAGAATCAGTTAGTTTGATATCGGATATTTTTTTATAACTAAATTATAGAATATTAGTGTCAATTTATACACTTGATTATCAAAACCTAACCGCAACATTCTTAAATCAATCTTTCTCATGGCATATAGTAAACCTATTAGTTCAATTCGAAATATTTTATAATATGCGCAGGTTTTATGTGTCACTATAGTGTCTAAAATGCTAATTCCATACTTTCAATTTTTATTGTGGGAAAACAACTACTAGTATGTATTTCGCAAAAATTATTTGAACAATGAGTTTTGAACTTCATTTATACGTATCTTATTCACTTGTAGTTGAAGCAAGTAATAAGCATTATGGGAAGACTAGAAAAACTTTATCGCAAACTGTAAAATTGAATGTAACGACTTATTTTTTTATAGATTTTGGCACAGCAGAGATATTCTTATTATCAAAGAGAACTTTGGGAAAAAATACAAACCATTGATAAGAGTCGAATATACGACGACAAATTGTATCGTCAAGTTCGATTTATGTCGATTATTGGTCCAAACGCTCTCCCACCGGATCAATTTGATCGTGTAAGTTAATTAAATCATAACTTGATTCTATATGACGGCCTAAGAAGAAAACAATAACATACAGAATATTCTGCAAAAAGACGAATACAAATTTATGTGAGCAAAAACCAAATATACAAACAGACAGCGCAAA